GTGTGTGTGTGTGTGTGTGTGTGTGTGTGTGTGTGTGTGTGTGTGTGTGTGTGTGTGTGTGTGTGTGTGTGCGCGCGCCATCGAGTCGTGTGACATTGTGTTGGTACATGCGGGTGAGATGGCAGCGTTGTCGACTGTTGTTGTCTGTGTGTGTGTATGCGCTGAAAGACACGTGGCAGCCAGCACAACACAGCTCGGGAACCGGACAGCACAAACCCTTTTGCATCACATCCATAAACACACACACACACACACACACACACACACACACACACACACACACACACACACATTGCTACTTCAGCCCCGTGTGTCTGTGCACGCAAGTTGGCACAGTCCTGCACTTTATCGATCCGTTCACGTTGCAGATTGCACATGTGAGTGCTGTGCGGGGCGTGCGAAATGTGTGCTTGCTGTTTGTGCGTGATTTTGCGCGTGTGCACGTGCGAGGCATGTGTTGGCGCCAAGCCCACGTCACGGTTGACAGCGTCAGGAAGCGCTGCCAATGTTTGGTGCTGTCCACAATACATTTCCTGCTGTCACCGGCATCACTGCACGACTATCACCATCACATCGCTCACCCGCATCTGCTTGCTTGTTCCCCAATGCACGCGCATGTGATTTATGTGATGTGATGATATGTGTGTGTGTGTGTGTATGCGTGCGTGTGTGTGTGCGTGCGTGCAGGTGCGCAATGCGCTGTTCTGGCAGCACCCATTCAATGCAATTGCATCACACGGCTCACTGATTGAGTTTATTGTCATGGACGTGGAGCCCGTGTACGACGAGCACCACAACGAAGTCACCAATGGAAAGGTGGGCCACACCTGTGCACCTGCAGCACCTGCGACAGTTGCCTCGTTTCTGCTCAACACCCTGATTCGCATATTCGACACACGTCCGCTTGTCGACAACCACATATGTCCTTGGCGGCAACCACATCTGATCGTTTATGCTTTCCTCACCACCGCCTTGTGTGTGACCGAATGCCTTTGCATGTATTCATATGTGCGAATGCAGTTCTTGTTGGTGAACGTTGTCGTTGTGCGCGCGAACGAGCTGGAGACGGGTGGACAGGAGTTTCAGACGCGCAGCCACCTTGGCCACATCCTGCGCTACGGCGATACAGTGCTTGGGTGAGTCAGGCATTGCGCTGCTTCTTGTGCCACACACACACACATACACACACACACACACACACACACACACGCATATATCCACACACAACGTGCTTGCATTCACGTGCATACCCATCCCAGTTGCGAGCTGTACTTACCCGATCTTGCGGTCATGCGGTCTCGTTGAATCCGTTGGTGTCGTTCAGGTTTGATTTCACGACTGCGAATGTCAACGACGAGTACTTCAACCGGCTTGACACCTCAAACTTCCCCGACGTGGTGCGTGCTCCCACCACCACCCCACCTGCGAATGCATGCATATCAAACTGCTGTCCTCACTGCTCACGCTTGTCACATGTTTGTGCGTGCGTGTGTGCGTGCGTGTGTGTGGTTTTAGATTCTCGTGCGGAAGAGCCATGCCGAGCGCCGCAAGCGCCGCCGCGGCCGCAACTTCAAGCTCAAGTACCTCGCCAAGGAAGAAGGTACACACGC